TTATCTTTAAGCTCCACAATAGCCTGATTATCTAGTTGAAATTGTTATTCAGCTTTTGTACACTTGTTCCTCTTGTGACCAGACAAATGTAGAAAAGTAGCAATGCAGAATGCTATTTGCATTGATCTTAAAAAAATGCATTTCCCTGATTGCATCTGTGCTGATTTTTAAAAACTGTCCTTTAAATGACTAGACAAAGAATTATATCTATTAGGCTTAAACCTTGTAATCGTTTTGGAGTGGCACCCCACTTAGATTTTCTTAATAAATAGACTTTGTCACACATAGTCATGTTAAATAATTTTTAAAAAAATTACTGTCTCATATTCATTCACTTGCTCCCCAATTTTTCTTGGGAGCAATTTTCTGTGCTTTTTTAGTATCAGTTTTCACAAAGGATTTATAACCCTTTGCATTACAAGATAATAAGCTCCAAAGTACTACATTGTACGATCAAGCATTCAAGATATGCATTCTTCCCTAAGTGCTCAGAAATCAGTTTCTCTTGGGTAGTGTTAAACCACGTTCCATCTGCCTTAGATTTTTTTCCCCTCTTCTGACTAGGCCATTTGTTGACTGATTAAATGTTTGTATCATTATAAAAAATGTTATCTGGAAGGTCAAGTTGAAAGTCTCATTATGAAGTCCGTTGGGATAAATTTTTACATATTTTATTTGCTCCAAAGAATTAATATATAAAACTTGGGCTGTTATTGACCAGTTTTGCTACCTGCTGCTAGCCATAAATAAAAATAAGTGCTGGTGCAATGAGGCCCCTGTCTTGGCTTTAGACCCTTGGCCTTCTTGCAGAGGAGCCAGCTAAGGGGCAAGTCCTAAGTATCCTTGGTTAGTGGCCGTGATTGAACTCAGTGGAAAATTTGGTCGAGACCCTGACACACACTGTTCTTTCTGGGCTGTCCTGGAGAATCCAGGCAGCTGTAATTCATGGAAATACTCATATGTGAAGCCCACTGAAGAAACTGATGTTTTTGGGCTGCTGGTAGGAGGTTCTATGTGAAACATCTGCATAGAGTGCAGAGGAGGAGTTCTTAGATTTTGGGGGGCCATTGGACCCCTTTGTCAGTCTGGAGGAGCCTATGGACTCCTTTTCAGAATATATCTTAAAATGCTTACATAAATACAAAGGACTACAAAAGGGATCTTTTATACTGAAACACAGTTATCAAAATAGTTGTAAAAGTTGTATGTTATAATCTACATGCTTTATTAATGTCTCTAATAAGAACAAACAGTCTAAAAACTACTATAATTTTGGAGTAGTGATGGGTATAAAATTATTTTGAGATATCTTCAGGAACTGTAATGTGATATGAAAACTTCTATAATTTCTGTTAGTGACAAAGTCCTAGGGCCTGCTAAAACTAGGATGCGTTACCTACGTTTCTCTTTTTTTTAATATTTTTTTTAATTACAGTTGGCATACGATATTATATTAGTTTCAGGTGTGCAACATACTGATTAGACATTTATATAACTTACAAAGTAATCACACCCGGTAACTCTAGTACTCATCTGACACTATACATAGTTATTACAATATTGTTGACTATATTCCTTATGCTGTGCTTTACATCTCCATAACTATTTTGTAACTACTAATTTGTACTTCTTGATCCCTTCCCCTTTTTTACTCATCCCCCTCAACACCCCTCACATCTGTCAACCCTCAAAATGTTTTCTATGAATTTGTTTGTTTTGTTTGTTTATTTTGTTCTTTAGATTCCACATGTAAATGAAATCATATGTCATTTGTCTTTATCTGACTAACTCCACTCAGCACAAGTACCCTCTCAGTCCATCCATGTTGTTGCAGATGGAAAGATTTCATTTTTTATGGCTGAGTAATAGTCCATTGTATATATGTACCACCTCTTTTTTGTCTATTCATCCATTGATGGACACCTAGGTTGCTGCCATATCTTGACTATTATAAATAATGCTGCAATGAACCTAT